TCGTTTTTTTAAAAAGTACTCTAAACTGTATAAATAATGTAAAATTAAATTGAATTTATTAGCCAATCAGACAAACTCTGTCTATGGCAAGCACTATCAAATCGACCTAAACTATATAATCACCTAACTCTAAAACTAACTCTAATTTAGGCCGAGTATTTAATAATGTGATGTGATGATTACGAAAATATCATTGGGTTCAGTGATCTTCAAACTACCCAAATAGCACTATTTTAGATGCACTGCCTCCGGTACATACGTACGTATTCAAGCCTGGTTATTGTGTGATACAAAGGAAATTCAACGTAAAAAAATAAACTAAGTTCTTTTTCTTGTAGTTTCGCTTTTTTTCGCTTTGCTCGTGAAACTGATGGCTATCTAAAAGCTGATTGGTTGTTTCTGCCAGAACAGCCAATCAGATTTTAGACAGATCTTAATACGTATAAATGCATCCAAACAAAACATGGATATGGTTGCACAATCGTGTGATACTGATTTATTATTTAAGATCTTATCGAGATGTCAAAAAAAAAAAAAAAAAAAAGATGAATACTATTACACACTCTCTTCGTCTATTATTATCTCATGGATCAAAAGCCATATTACAACAAAGATCGATTATTACAACAAGGTCATTTTCAATATTAAAAAATTCACTTTCAGCTTATCCTGTCAAGGTAGTGTCTTTTTTTGAAGTTTTTTAAACCGACACTAACATTTGTGAATACTGCGCAGAAAATAATTAACTGAATCATTATCTGATCATTTGCAAATTCTTTATTCAGATTACTTCTAAGGGCATTAAACACTCCAAATTAAATCAATTAAGTCAAGCCCGGGCCATTCAAACGCTTGACTTTGGTGGTGTCAAAGAAAAAGTCCATGAACGATCTGATTGGCCAAAAGAAAAATTCCAAAAACTTTTTGAAAATGATACGATTGCTATAATTGGATATGGACCACAAGGAAGGGGACAATCTTTAAATGCAAAAGACAATGGATTGAATGTTATCATTGGACTAAGAGAAGGAGGTAGAAGCTGGAAATTAGCATTGGAAGACGGTTGGGTATATATTGATATATGTAGTGTTATTATTCTAAGATTTTCAATTGATTATTCACTTTCTACAAACTTCTGATATCAGGTGCCTGGAAAAAACCTTTTTAATATTAATGATGCACTTGCGAAAGGAACAATCATTGGTAACCTTTTGTCCGATGCGGCTCAAAAGGAACTTTGGCCTCAATTCGTTCCGCATTTGACGAAAGGAAAGACCATATATTTTTCACATGGTTTTTCAATTGTATACAAGGATCAAACAAATGTCATACCACCAAAAGATATTGACGTGATTATGATAGCTCCGAAGGGGTGAGTTCATAAAGTACATACAGATATTTATGGAAACTATAATGACGCTAAAGTAATTATGTATATTGGTAATTTTTATTGTTCAGATCGGGCAGAACTGTTCGTTCACAATTTCTTGATGGACGTGGCATTAATTCGTCATTTGCAGTATTCCAGGATGCTAGTGGTAAAGCACGAGATAGATGCGTTGCTCTTGGAATTGCCATCGGATCTGGATACCTTTACGAAACCGACTTTAAAAAAGAAGTCTTCTCGGATCTTTTCGGTGAACGAGGAGTTCTCATGGGTGCCATTCAGGGGCTATTTCTTGCACAATATGAGGTCTTGAGAGCGCATGGGCATACACCTTCTGAAGCATTTAACGAAACAGTAGAAGAAGCCACTCAATCATTGTATCCATTAATCGGTGAGAATGGCATGGATTGGTAAATATTTTGAATATGTTTTTTTGAATATTACATTTTATCATTGCCTACACTTCTAAAGTTAATACTATATAATATAAGGATGTACGCGTCTTGTTCTACGACAGCACAAAGAGGTGCACTCGATTGGTATAAACCATTTCATGACGCCACAAAGCCAGTTTTCGAAAAATTATACGCATCAGTAGCTGACGGGACTGAAACGCGACGGACGTTAGAAAAAAATTCGTCACCTAAATATCGCGAAGAATTAGAAGAAGAGCTAAAAGAAATTAGGTATATATCTTTGTATTTCGGATAAAATATAACGCATACACTTATTTAATATCTAAAATGATTTTATAGAGAAAGTGAGATTTGGAAAGCTGGTAGGACTGTACGTTCTCTTCGTCCAGAAAGTAAAAAGTAAATAATAGCATTTATTGTATACATAAAAAAATATTATGAAACAAAATAAAATATTCTCTGTATCTATTATGAAACTTCTACTAAGTGACCATCTTAAACTTTAACGTCAAGTTAGGATATTTTAATAAATTTGATTTACGAATGTCATGTATTATTTTTTTATAACAGAAGAGATGACATACACAAAGCTCTCTTGTTAATATATGAGATTGTTGAGTACATTCGCAATAAAAATATCCTGAGCCTTTAGATATTAGCGGAAACTTCGTTTCCGTTTGTACATGTGATCTTGAGATAATGATCAGGATATTTTTTACAGTATATTTGGGAATAAAGACAAAAATAACGTTGTATCTGTGAAGTTATAATTTCAGGCAGGTGCTAACTTCAGGCACGACATATACGCGTTCTAAGGATATTGCACATTTTATAAGAGGCTAGTTTAAAGATCTGGAATAGGGCCTGTAAACTACCTATTTTTGTGGCCCGCACTTAGTTTTAAAATTTTTTTGCCAGCCCGGCCCGGCCTGCATATATATAAATTTTTTCTTCAGGGTGACCCGACCCGGCGCAGCACGCAAACTTTACTATTACAACTATTATCATAATTTCTGGGACACCTGCTCATTACCCGAAATCTCTTTGGTCGTTCGGTAGATTACCTAACTGAAGGTCCAAGACAGCAATATAGTTTAATTTACTGGATGATCAAAAAGATTTTGGGTAAGAGCAAGTGCTTCAGAAATTACAGTGACAATCATAAATAATGTAACAAAAAAAATTTTTAGTTAGACTGTATTATTTTTTGCAATTTTGAATGTATTTATTTATTTTTTTTTTATTGTATTCATAAATAGTAATACTTTTATTAATAAAAAATTTTTAAAAAAATAATAAACAAGATTTTTTACAAGCATAAGCTTTATAACAATTCACATTGTATTATTTTTGTTTATTTTATAGCAATGATTATAAAACAAAAAAAATTTTTTTTATATCAAAAAAAATTTTTTTTTGTTATTTAATAATTTTTTAATCTTTACTATCTGATGTAATTGCTCTGAATTCTAATTATATTATGAATTCATTCTGGTATTGAATAAATTAGACTTGTACAGATTTTAACATTAATTGTTTGTTAGATTTAGATTGCAGATTATATGTCTGAGTCTTTATTCTTCATATGTAATTTAAAAGCAAGCTTTTCTTTGTAAAAACTTCAATTGAATTTCAATAAAGTTAAAGGCATGGCCTCACTGCTAATATTTAAAAAAAAAACATTAATTGTTTGTTAGACCATCTAGATCTTTTCTCAAAGATCTTTCTTGAAATTTGATTAAAAAATGATCATTAACTTTATATCACATGTGGTCAATAGGATTAAAATTAGAGAATTGGAAAAACAATTAAAGAACTGAATTTTTTTTCTTTTAAACTAAGGTTTCATCAAAGTTGTTATATAAAAAAATATACCATCTTGTTAAAACATGATATTGTTAATATTAAAACTATAATCTTTGATAATTTATATCAAATTTTTATTAAGTAACTTTTAGTATAACTTACTATTTATTATGTTATTAATCTTATAATAGTTACTAATATTATAAAAAAAATTTAATTTTAAATTATAAAGAGTTAGGCTTCATAGTTTAATTATTAAGCTGCTAACTTCTTATAGATAAGATCAATGGTTCAAATTAAGCTAAAGGTAAAATTTAAGAATTTTAACTCTGTAACTTAAATATAGAAATCAAATCAGATACAAAGTCCTGTCAAAAGTTCAAGCTGAAGTACAAAAACAGATTAGAAATTTTTAGAAGAAGATTAACTCTGCAGAAAGAAGATATTATATGTAATAGTAGTGTTACAGAAGATTTTGTTGCATGAAATATTGTACAAATAAGTTCTTTAAAAGATGAAACAGCATCAACATCTTTGTATCCAACTTACAATATACTTGATTAAAAGAATAATATTAATATAACTAAAATTAAAATGGTAAGTAAAATAAGACATGCAAAGAAGATTTGTAATAAAGAATTGGTCTAACTAAATTGAAACATCTTTAGCAGACACTATAAACCTTAAGAAAAAATAAAATTAATAATTATATATTACAATATTATTGAAAATTATCATATTTGTATGCAATAAATCAAAATTTCAGATCTTCTTGTAACATTAAAGTGAGTCAAACTACTGATAAGAATACATAAAAAAAGTATATAGTAATTACAGATGATAATTTGAAATCTCAATAAATTCAGTTATACTAATCAGTACCTATATATGAATAGTTATATATATCAAATTAATAGCAAAAAAAACAAAAACCTACTAAAATCAAGCAATTTGAAAAAAGAAAAGAATTATTATAAGAAATAGATAAAAGAATTATAATTAGATAGAATTAGGGAATATAGTGTAACAAGATAGCTATAGTCTTATCTTAATTAGTAATAATAATTAGAATATTATAGTTCTAATAATAAAATAAAAAAGTGCAAATATAATGTCATATATATACTAGACAAATTACACTCACAAACAACAGAATTTAAATGACTATCAATTTTTAACTAGCTTAAGAAACAAGAGTTTGAAGACTCTTTTAGAAGCTTGTATCCAACCAAAAGAACATATATGTAGTTAAGTTAAGAAGTAGCAACAAGAATTGATTATATCTGATTATTAAAGACAATTGCAGTCAACTTTTATAAAGCCAATATAGAAGAAGCAGAAAGCATAATAGACAGTAATTATAAGATACTAATAACAAACATATGAATAGAGCATATAATTGCAAACTATAGTTGTGCAGAAATTAAATATAAAAATTAAATAAAAATAATATACCTGTATAAGAAAGTAAAACAAGAAGATTGAAAAGAATATGCTAAAGAACTTCAAGTACAATTAGAATAAAAAAAAATGCTGAAGTAGTTAAAAGATGATAAAATAAGCAGTATGTATAATACAAACTCATTAAACTACATGTAGAATACAATAGAAGAAGCTATAATAGAAGTAGCAAATAAACAAATTCCAAAAAAAAAGGTATTCAACATAAAGACAAACAGAAAACATTATCAAAAGAAGTCACAGCAGAGTATACACACAATTGAACTACAACAAATAATAAAAAGAACAAAAACAAGAAGAAACCAAGAGATAGAGAAAAAAAAAAAAGAGATAAACAATAGACTTAAAGATATTAGTAAAGAAATAGAAGCAATATTACCTAAGCTGTACAAAAAATAGTTAGAAGCATAGTTAGATAATATAAAAGGTTAGCAAAAAGTTCTAAAAAACAGAAGGAAAGAAGAGTAAGAATAAGTATAAAGAAAACAGATAGAAGAAAATATAAATAGAAGATGTGAAATGATAAAAACTGATCAAAGATGAATGATTGCTAGCCTGTTAAACAAACTATACAAAAAGATAATTCTTGACAGATTTATAATCCAAAATGAAGAGGAAGTCAGTTTATCAACAGAATCTAAGGCTGTTTTAAGTAGTCTAACAAAGCACTTTGAAAATCAATTTAGAAAACAAAAAATCAAGCTAGAAGAGATGTCTGAAAAATGAAAAAAAATATACAACTCAAAGAAATAGATCAAAGAATCATGATATGAAAAGTTAGAAAAAAAGATAAAAGAAGAAGAGTAGAAAAATACATTAAGAGAATTCAAAGCCAATACAGTTCTAGGAATTTTAGATATAAGTTATACTTTAATAAAACAAGTATTTTTAGAGCTTTTACAAACCTGATTCTAGAAACAGAAGAAATACTAAAAAAGTAGAAAATAGCACAAATCTATTCAATCCCAAAAGATATAGATTGGAGAAATAATTTGAACAATATTAGACCAATAGTACTAAACAAAATCTTTAAAAAATTAATTACAAAAGTAATAACAAGAAGGTTAGCCAAGATATTTATAGATAGAGAAATACTCAAAGAGCCAAACTATGCAGATTTGCCTAACAACTTAACAAAGCAACCAATATATATACAAATATAATAAGGGCCATGTTATTAATTACCTGATTATTTTTTATCAGAAACCTACTTCTTCTTCCTTCTTTTAATATATAAATAGTTAGGTTCTTTATATATAATTTTAACTGTTTTTATTTTCTTTTCTAAAAAATCACCTGATTTTTGACACTTTCCTAATAGAAGAAGTACAAGAGAAAAATAAAAAAACATAGATACTTTTGCAAAACATAAAAAAGGCATTTGACTCAGTTCTATTAGAAAGCTTAGAATAGGCTCTTAAAAGAGTTAAAATATTACAAAAAACAATAAAATATATTATTAATCTTTTTTGTAAATGACAACTTAAAGTAATCACAGCTTACAATTTAATAGAAAAAATAATAGCAGAAGATGGTATAGATTAAAAAGAAGTAATTTCTTCACTAATCTGGTGGCTTTTTTATAATTTGCTGTTAGAAAAAATTTGAGAAGACAAATCATTTGGCTATACAGTAAAACAAGAAATATTAAACAATACAGATATTAATTGTATTACAAAACATAGACAAACAGCAATTGTTTATATAAATGATACTATCTAGATCACAAGAAGCAAAAATCAACTGCTAAAAATTCTTAAAAGTGCAGAGAAGTTTTTCAAAATAAATGATATTGAAATAAATAAAGCCAAATTAAAGCTTATAGTAATGAACTTAAGATTAGAAAAGAAAAATAAAGAAATTATATTTGAACAGAGTAAAATAACAGAAAAACCAAAAAACAAAATTGTAAAATCATTAAGAATTTGGTTAAATAGCAAAATAAGAGAGTCGCTAGTCTGCAAAAAGCAAAAAGAATAGTTAATCAAACAGTCAAAGACCTTAGATATAAAAAAATGACAATAGACTAAATCATATATATAAACAATACATTATTAATTCTAAAATTAGAATATTTTCTGTAGTTAACAAAGATGTCAGAAAAGATAATCAACAAGATCTATCAACTGATAATATGTTTAACTAAACATAAATATAACATGATAAAAACTACAAACAACTACACAATTGAGCACAAAGATTTAGGAAATTGTAAATCACTAAGTCAAGAGATAGCAACAAAGCAAATAAGTAGTTTATTTATAAGATTTAATAGAAAAGATACTCTAGATGATCTAACAAGGTTCAGAATAACTCAAGAATGCCATAAGAAATAAAATATTGAAAATACAATTTAGCTTGTTAGATGATAGTCAAGACAAAAAAGAGAAGAATAAATATTAGAGCAGAAAACTACTTGTAAAAAATATATAATTAGGGTCATGTTATTTATCATCTGATTTTTTTTTTATTAAAAAGGTATCTTTTCTCTCTTTTTTAATATATACCTAATCAGGTTCTTTATATTAAATTTTAATTTTTTTTATCCTCTTCTCTAAAAAATTACCTGATAAATGACACTTCACTTATAGAATAAAAAAAAAAATTTAGTCAGAACCAAATTTTGAATAGCAAGTAGTAGCATAATAAATGAATAAGGTTTGCTATATTTGAACCAACTTATAGATATGAAAAAAGAAAGCCTAATTACATAAAGACAGCTTAAAAGTTTCTAAAAACTGTTATGTAAAGAGAAAAAAGCCAAATAGTTTAGTAAAATAAAAGAAAAGATGTTAATAATACAGAAAAGCAGAGAAATATATGACTAATACAAAATTAGTGATTACAATGCTTAGGCACTAATGATTAACTAAATAAAGATATCAGAATATAGAAGAAAAAAAAAGTGGATTATATATGGACTGAAACACAACCAACAACTCAGCAAAATATTAAGAAAGAAAAAGAAAAAGATTTTAGCTAAATATTGGCTTTTGCAAAAAATAGAAGAAAAAACATATACTGAAATAAGCAAATACAAAGGATGTAAAAATAGAACAAAACAAATAACAGACAATTGCAAAAGATGGATAAGATAAAACAATAATATAAAAGCAGTTCCAGAAACACTAATAGAAAAAAATAGTAATAAAATTAATATAATATTAGAACAAATACTAAAAAACAAAACAATGAAAGAACAGTAAAGAGAAAAAAAAAGACTAATTGGGCTAAACCAAATAAAAGAACTAAAAATAGAAGTAATTAAAAAACAAAAATTAAATAGTGAAGTTACAGCTTACTTAATAAAAGTTCTAATAAGAAACAAGATAAAAAACAAAGACAAGTATACTTTTTATACAGATGGAGCATTATATAAAGAGAAAAAAGAAAATATTATAGAAAGAATAGGCATTGGTTGGACACAGATCAGAAATAAAAAAAACTGACTAGAGAAAAAAATGATATTGGGACTTGAAGATTAGTTATTAGCAACAACAGCAAAACTGGCAGCAATATGGGTAGCAATTTTAACTATACCAGAAAAAAAAAATATAGAAGTATATACAGATAGTTTTGCTGCAATGAGGAACATTAATAAAGCAATTCAAGAGTTAGAGGACAACAAAGTTCTAAACAAGAAAAATGTAATGTGGATAATGAATATTATAGATCTAGTCAAAAGTAAGAATAATAAAATAGAACTAATTAAGGTCAAGAGTTATAGTAATAATAAGTAGAATGACAGAACAGATGTATTTGCAAAAAAAGAAGCAACATATAAAATGACAATATTAACAGAGAAGATCAAGTGTGACAGAATAGAGTACTATCTAGAATGGAATAACAGAAAGATTAATATACTAATAAAACTTCTTTGTAAAATAGTTATGAATACCAAAATTAAAGTCAGTTAGAAAGAAACAAATCTGATTCAAGCACTAAAGCCAGAAACAAAGAATACTTAATACAATTAGTCAAATTTTGAAAAGAAATGAATAGAATAAAAGGTGTACACTGCATAACAAGAAAACTCAGCACAAGAAGAGCAATAGTGATCAAATGCATAATAGATAGTCTACTAACACTAGAAGAATTAAATAGAAGAAGACCAAAAATATATACAACAACAGATTGCCAAGTATATCAAACAGGTAAAAAAAAAACTTAAACACATTTGGCAAGCTGCAGTAAACAAAAAAGTTTGTAAAAGAGGATCCAAAAAGTAGCAACAGCAATAGCATAGAATAGTTTCAAAAAAAGTAAAAAAATTCAAATTCTATCTTAAGTACTATATGAAACAACATTTGAAAAAACAGAAGTAAAGAAAACTATTAACAGAAGAGTATTAATAAAAGAACTAATTATGAATAAGGTTGAAAAAAGAATCAGTTAAATGCTAAACAGACAGGCAACACAGAGATGCATAAATATAGTAACAAGAACAGTATAAAATATATTCTATAATCAAGTATAAAGAGTTTGATATAAAAAAGTACAAGAATGGAAAAAAAAAGTAATATAACAAGTAAAATAAAGAAAAGTATTTGAATTAAAAGAAGGCCAGAAAAAAAAATAGAAAAAGACAAGCTAACAAAGAAAAAAAAAAAAAAAAAAAATAGAAAAAATGAACCAAATAAAAAAAGAAGCTTAAAAGACAATTAATATAATTATTACAGAAAAGAAAAGACTCTTCTAGTATAGTTTTAAGTAGTTAGACAAGTAGTCTATCTCTAACTAAGATAGTACAACAAGTTGCACTTATGCATTGTTGTCACAAAACAGTTGTAAACATGAGTTTGAACACTTTTGGACATTTTTAAACAAATAAATAAATTAAATTTGCTCAAAATTTTATTAAGTTAACCTATTTTAACTTTCTAAATAAAAATATTTAGTATTTTAAAAAATATATAATTATATATTTTTTAAATTAATATATTAATTTTTAAAGCTTGTATATGTTGTAAATATTCTTGGATATTTAAATATTTAAACATTAGATATGATTAAAAAAAATCTTGAACATAGTAGATGTGACAATACTGCTTAAGTACCAATAAGGTGGTTGTATAATGCTAGACTTAGATATTGGGAAATTCTACCTAATTATAATAGTGTTCATACCCAGTTAACTCTTTACCTAAAAGGTTATACTTTTTAATAAAATCTAATAACTGGGTTTATACCCTATTAGGGTAAAAGGGTAACGGTTATATCTGTTTATATCTAGTTATAACTTCAGTTTTCATTACAACTTAACTGATAACAATAACATTTTTATCTGTAAGGTCTGATGTAAGCACTATCGTTTTTTGTATATATTATTCAGCCTTTCTAATCATTAGACTTTTACTCTTTTTTTACATTCGCTTACTGTCATAGTCTCTACCGACCATGCAAGTAAATGTTGACCAAGTAAAGAGAATTAGTAGTGCTTCTATATTTAGGTAAAGTTTTGTGTATTAGCACTAGTATTTTTATTTGATCGATTCTTTTGTGAGAAAAGTGCACTGACTTATTTTTTATTATCTTTCGCTCTGCTTATATACATATTTTAATTCTTATCATTACATCATAAATTTATCATATGATTCTTAACTCTTAAAATTAATTACATAATTAATCAGTCATATGGTATTTGATTCTTATCTTAATTACACATTTATTATACATCGTAATTGATTCTTAATTGATTCTTATCATAATCACCCCGATAATTAATCAACTATGATTTGACTGATGGCCTGTGGTCATGAGATCATTGTTCGAACATGAAACTAACCCTCACTTCATTTATCTTCTTCTCTATTACCATCCTCCCTCTATTGTTACCTCTTTTACCACATAATTTGGGATCTACATTTCCTCGTCGAACCGTTCCTGACTGTGACACTTACTTTTTCACTTTCGTTCATTATTTTTTTCATTTAACTTTTTTTACTTTTTTCTTTTATGAATTTTATAAGTTATGCAAAAAAAAATAAAATCAGAAAATTGAGTTATCACATGATTAGAAATTCATTTGTTTTTTCAGCCTGTTCCTTTTGTTTTTTTAATTTTTCTAAAGTGATCAAATAATATATACAGAAAATGTCTAGTATACACATAGGACCTATCGGATAAATAAATGTATGTGATTATTAACAGATCATATTTTATTGCAAAATAATTCAATGTGACTACATTATATATAATGATTGCAATATACATATATATAATTCAAAAAAAAAATTTTGCTTAAGCCAAGTAAGAAGAATTTCAATTGTACTGTTATTCAAGAACACTCAACTTAATTCGATATATGTTATTTTTAAAATCTCACAAAGTTTATATTCGATCAGGCTTGGTTCAAAAAAAAGATCCTTGAAAGATTTATTATAATATTTGTTAGTTCAATTAATTTAAATCAATATATTAAATAGATATTAAATTTTTTTACTATTCAGGGTTATTCAGAATTCCATTACAACTTGAATCGACTTAAAATTAATAAAATTCAATTTTAATATAAAGTAATTAAGATCAGTTATATATTATTTACATCAACCCGTAAATAATTAAAAAAAATATATATTATACACTTTATAATATTGTATCCTTACTCCAAAAAAAAAATACTACTTATTCGCTTTAATACAATTTTGTTCTAAAACAAATATTTTATTAATATATGCATTTAGAAAAAAATTTTCTTGTTATAACTTAAATTTATTTTTTCTTACTTGGAAAAATATCAACAACAGTATGATGATTTTTGTTTAAAAAAATTAAATGCTCAAGTGTAATAGGTAAAAGATTCACTCTTTTAATAGACATAATATTTCCAGCTTTACTAAATAGCCTCTCACTAGGTGTTGAAGTGGCTAAAATAGCTAGATATTTTCTTGCCAAATAAGCTAGAACTGGAAAACGACTTTGATTATTTTTCCACCACTCAAATGGGCATTGGTCATAAGAAATTTCTGGCATTCCAATATAGTCAAAAATTTCATCCATATGCATATTATTTGATCAATACATAGTAGCTAATAATTTGCTTTTAGGCCATAATGGTTGCTTAATAGATGATACATTTATTTGACTTTGGTGCTGTCTATATGCTTTACGCAATGAATTGTGAGTTCTAGACCTTAGAAATTCTGAAGTAAAACTCAATAATTTGCATCAAGGATCTAGTAATGCAGCCAACATTCCTTCTTCTGATAGCACTTGTCAATAATGCTTAATAGCATTGTACAATGCCATTCTTACTCTTTTTTCAATATTTGAACAATCATAAGGAATATTCGACTTAACATCTATTTGATCATTATTAAAAGCGCTTTCATCATTATCATAATTTATTTCTCAGAGTACAAAATTATCAATGAGCGTAAGACTATTAGTAATCGCTTTAATTGCACTATACATAAAACTTACTGTTGCATATTTACTACCTCCTAATAAATCAGTAGCCTCTGCAAACGGTTCAAGTATTGTAATAAGACTTTTTATAGCTTCCTACTCAGTATCAGTAAGATTAATTTTTTTTAATTGTACAACTTCTTTTCGTGTTTGGTAATTTTTATCTAAAGATAGCATTGTAATTATTGGGTCAATTATATTTTGAATTTTAATTAGCTGTTGCCAAGCAAGATACGAAGAATTCCATCTTGTTGGCACATTAGCAATTATACGCAATTCATGATCATTTTAAGAAAGATCCTAATAAAATTTAAAAAAAATAACTTTTATTTAATAACTAAAAAATCATGTAGGAAGCTATAATTTGAAAAAAAAATTTCGCATAATAGTATTTACTGTATTCTGTTTGCCAAAGTATTGCAATTAAAAAAAATTATCATGTATATTACACATCACATGATGTATAAATAATAATTTAAAAATTGTTCTATAGGGTACTTTGACGAACAGAATACAGAATATATTCGAATTTATTATTTTAAAAAAGTACATTCTCACTTACATTGTTTTCATTACAGTTAAATCTTTTTTGAATTTCCAAAAGTCACTGAGTTTGTTTTGGAGTAGTAAAGTATAGTATAAGTTTTTTTGCATGTTTAACTAAATCTTCTATTTCCAAAAGACCTTTTCCAATAACTAACTGGAGAGTATGTGCTATACATGGAATACGAATTATGTTTTGCATTAAATCTAATGCTTTAATCATATTACTACCATTATCTGTAGTAATCGAAAAAACCTTATCATTAAAATTCTATTCATCAATAATTGAATTTAATGCTTCAGCAATAATTTCACCAGTATGTGGATACGGAAGATAATCAATAGAAAGTATAGTTTCTTGTAATTTAAAATTAGTATTAACATATGAACAAGTTATACCCAAGTATCCTAATCTATTATGTCCAGTCCATAAATCGCAGGTTAGTAAACATGATATAATATTCTTTTCAAATATATCTAATAATAATTGCTTGGTATTTTCATATACTTCAGAAAGTAATTGTTAGCAATATCTTTCACTTGGAAATTGGTATGAGGGATCAAATTCTGCAATAAAATCCTTAAGACCTTTATCATTTCGAATATTTATTGGTTGTTGATCTTTAATTAAAAGTTCAACAAATCTTTAATCTAAACGATGCTTATGTTCTGAATGATTATAAATTATTTTATCAATTTGAAGTTGCGAAGATAAAGGTTGTTTTATTTTTTTATTATGTGAACTTTCTGTAATACCATGTCGTGTTGCTAAATGCCCAATATAATTTTCTGTTGAACTGTCTACTGATCTTATAAGATGCCTGCATAATTCACTTTTTTTATTTTTATAAACTTCTACTAAACAACTTACAATTGATTTGTAGAGTAATACAGCTTCATAACATTGATAATAAGACCAAACCCAGCTTCGTCCTGAATGTTTCATAATAGGAATTAATTTTATTTCTTTTAAGTTCAATGTTTTTGACATATTTTTGGATTAGTTTCATAAAATTGAGTAAAGTGAATTATCTTGGTTATTTTCATTAACTAGGTTATCATTATCATCGTTAACTAGGTTATCATTATTATCATTAACCATGTTATTATAGTCATCATTAACCCAGCTATCTTCATATTCATTAACCAGGTTATTATCATCATTAACCCAGCTATCTTCATATTCATTAACCAGGTTATCGTCATTATTAACCCAGCCATCTTTATATTTATTAACCAGATAATCTTTATTATTAATCAGGTTATTATATTCATCTGATATATCATTATCATTAATCGAATTATTGCATTCAACAGATATATCATTAACCATATTATTGCATTTATCTGAAATAAAGTCTTCAAAAAACAATTCACACTCTCTCCTGCAGATCTTTTGACCAAAATCGTCAAGAAGCAAAATAAGAAATAACACAGAAACACACTAAAAAACAACACCTTGACCTATAACAAAAAAGATAGAGCAGCAAAAGATACATATATCCAAAGACAAAAACAGAAAGTAGAGTTTTTGGCAATATAGTATAGAGGCAAAAAACAAAAGTTTCGACAAAAAGTTTAGTTTTTAGGAAATTTTGGGGAATAGCTGTGACCTTGTCGTGCAGATCACTTAGGTTACACGAACACGTAACAAAACAAACAAAGCAAATAGGGGAACACGTGTACCAAATAGTATAGCAAAATATACACAGAGTATACAAAAGAAGAATCTGAACCATAGTAAGAAATATAGACCAATGGCTGAAGTACATAATGCAGATGTTATAGATTATATTAGAGGAATAGGAGATAGAAATCGTAGATATGTAGATTGCAAACTATTGGACCAAATTCTTAGGACACCAACAAAAGAACCAAGCAATATAGAATGCATTGCAAAGGAACTAGCAATCTATGACCCGAAACATATTACACCACGTGACTTGCTAATATACGGTCAGGTTTTGGATGCTTTAAGATTAGCGGAAATAAGTTGGCTTAAAGAAGAAGTAATCGACAAGTGGGCAAAAAAGCTTAGGGCCATAAGCTGCAGCCCAGATGCATTTGAACATAACACAAGTATAAGTAAAAAAAACTTATATCAAAGAGGAAAAAGCACTGATAAGATAAGAATTTCAGTTGAAACTAACGAAGTAAAAGATATAATTAATAGAAAACAGCGGCAAGAAAAAGAAAACAATCACAAAGATGTAGAACAAGAAGTAGAGATATTGGAAGAACAGATGAAAGAACTAAGCATCACTGTATCACAATACCAAACAAGTCAAGCCCTCAATAACGTCGAATATGAAGAAAGAACTTTGACAGAGAATAGCGAAGTGAAATCAGAAAAAGAAAAGAAACAAAAAGAAGACCCAGAGGCATCAACAAATAACAGAGACGAGAGTATAGAAAATGTAGAAGTCATGGATATAGAAGCAATAGAATGGGAAGACGAATTAAACAGTGAAGAAGAAGAAACAGTGTTTCCTACAGGAACAATTGAGCACAGCCGATGGTCGCCAGAGAACAGAATATGTGATAAAAACAAGTCATTTAAGGCAAATATGCCTACATACGCATTGCCTGGGAAGACCAAAGAAGAAAGAGTAAAGTATGTTCAGTGGATTTTGGGAACAAACCATCACATTAAAGCAGTCAATGAGGTTTTCAAAAATGGAAACAATTGGGTAGAAGTAGATTTCGATTGTGAGCATAGTAGAGATGCAGCAATGGACAGAATTAAGAGAAAAGAAGGAGAATGGCTTAAGCTCATCCCAGAAGAGACCAAGAACAAGAGCCAAAAGATGGAGCAACAAGAAAACTACAATGCGAAAGAAAGAAAAGAGGGAAATACGAGACAAACAAAAATAAAAATGAACAATGTAATAGGAAAGCTGTATAGTAAGAATAGAGAGGAAAAAGAAGAAGAATATGAAAATGCGAATCAAGCAAGAGGAAAAAGAAAAGATATAGGAAAATCTCAAATAGAAGAAGGTTTATGGACAAATAATTATCTAACAATTTGGGATTTGCCAGCAGACATCAATATAGAAGAAGTAGAACATATGTGTAAAAACATTAAAAACGCTAAAGTAGACCGAATCAAGCGTTCCAAATACAAAGCCTTAGCAATTGTATATGCCAAAGACATAAAAGAAGAAAACATTCCATGGGCATTGCCAGTTGGTACTCACAAGTTAGCAAGAGTGTCCAAGGGCAATGAAGACTACAAATTACGAGACCAACATAGTCAGTTTACATCAAAGTTATTGGAGCTTCCTGGAAATGCATCAGAAGTTTTATTATTGCAATGTTTAAGGAAAAAAGGTGCAAAGTCAGTATATATATCAATGAATAGAAATGGTAATCAAAGAAGGTCTGCGATAATTACTTTCGCATCAAAGGAAGAAATGGAAGCAGCACAAACGAAACCAATAAGATTCAATAATCACTTGCTTTTTTGGCAAGAAGAAGCAAGAGAAAAGAAATATAATAAGGAAAAAGTAGTCTATAAAAAGTATACACCTACATACAATGCAGAAGAAGACTCAGATAACGAAGAATACAAGAATAAGAAAAGTGAAGAGAGAAAAGATGCAGAAGACAGCAAAAGAAACAAAGAGAAACATCGCATACATTCAACAGAAAAAGAAGAACATCGGATACAAAATCAAGACCTTTTGGAAAGAATACTTGAAAGACTGGAAAGACTAGAATTACAACAAAATAAAGTTAGAAGGAAAACGGAAGAAGACCCAGCCGATCATTCCTAAAGGCGCCATAGTTGAATTAATGAGCATAGACAAGGAGATTGGGAGCTTCTTGCAAAAGGAAAGAGAGGTGTTTGAAAAAGGAAGAAAACTTAAGAATTTTTATCAAGAAGAAGAAATACATGACAAAAATAAAAAGAAGCTAGAAAATGCAGAGGCAAGACCAAGACTACTAAAAGAAAAGTGGAAAGAAGGAAAGAAAGAGATAAAAATAGCATGTCACAATATCAACGGACTCAAGACCAAAGGTTGGAAATTGGAGAATCTGCTCGG